AGCTGGCTCAGCTGTCCTGTGCTACAGAGCTTGTTTTGATGGGGAGAAGGTAGCAAGGGCTAGTTCCCTGGTGTCTGTGATATTTAATTTTTTTAAATAGTTGATTTGGGGAGCATACACCTGCCACAGTGATGTGTGGAAGTCAGGTCAGTTTGTGCATATCGGTTTTCTATTGACACCATGTGAGGAGTAGTGATGGAATTTGAGGTCATTAGACTTGGTGGCAAATCCCTCTTCCCATTAAGCCATCTTGCTATCCCTCATGCCATTCTTTGATGTATCTTGTTGCTGGTCACATATGTTCAATCAGCCAGAGCACATACATAGCACATTCACCACATAGCACTCACTACGTGACCTTTTCCTAGTTCCATTGTATTGGTGTGTGAATGGGCATGTGCAAGCTATGGCATGTAGAGTTTAGGGGACAGTGTTCAGGAGGTGAGTGTCCTCTACCATGTGAGTCCTGGGACCTGATTGTATTTGAGTAGTCGGTAAAAATTAAGTCAATGTGGTGTAGTGATGTAGACCTCTCATCCCAGCACTTGGCAAGTGCAAATGGGAGAATCATGAGTTGAAGGTCATCCCTTTGAGGACAGCCTGGGCTACATGTAGGTGATCCATGTCTGAAAAAAACAAAAAAATTATTTTTTACTACTGCGGAGACTGAGTCACAGAAGTTCCCAAGCCCCATGGGGAAGGATTGTCAGAGTAAGCACATGTCTTCTGTCACTCGGGAGCTGGAAACAAAACGTCATTGGCTAGAAGCTAAAATGCTAGGAATGTGCTGCTCAGTCCTGGAGGCAGGAAGCTCAGCAAGAGCCAGGGCCTGGAAGGTGACACTTCTGTGCTGCTACCAATTCCTGACACTAATGGCTCCTCCACCTTTGGTTTCCTGGAATTGCAGGTGGTCCTAGGTATGAAACTTGGGCTCTGTATGCGTTAGGAAAGTGCTTAACCATCAGAACTCCTCTCTTTTTCTTTTAAGACATGATCTTGTTTGTATCCCTTCTGCCTTTGCCTCCCAGATGGCTTTCTTTTCCTCATAAGAGCACAGATCCCATGGTAGGCTCCCTCGTGACTCCATAAGTCATGTCATGACTGGTAGGGCCTTCAACCTAGGAATTTGGGGAAAGCATCCCAGGTCTCTACTCTTACCCACATATACTGCTTTCCCCAGAGTCAGCCATGGAGAGGGACCGCTACATGAGCCCCATGGAAGCCCAAGAGTTTGGCATCTTGGACAAGGTCTTGGTCCACCCACCTCAGGACGGGGAGGATGAGCCAGAACTGGTACAGAAGGAGACTGCCACAGCTCCGATGGACCCTCCCGCCCCGGCAGGCACCTAAGGGCCTGACTTCCTCTCCACAAGTATGAAGACCAGACTGAAGACTGCTATACTTCTTTTGCTGGGGCCAAGAACGACCCCTGGAGGAGATGTGGGTTGAGGTTGCCCTCAAAGCAGGGCAGCCTGCCTGAGACACTGTGATTTTAAATTAAATCTTTGTGGTCTTTGTCCCATGTCTGAAGCACTTTCCATTACTTCTCCAAGACAGCAGGCCTCGTTTACGTTAAAAAACCACTTCTTCAGTCAGCAAACCCTGGCTGTCCTGGAACTAGCACTGTAAACCAACCTAGCCTCAGACCCAGATACCCACCTGCCTCTGCCTCCTAAGTGCTAGGATTCAAGCTGTACACCATCACACCTGGCTGTCAGCAGACCTAAGCCTTATACTACCCCAAAGTCAGCAGGTAGAAAGATGGTTTTATTCATTTATTTGTGATTATGTGTGCATGTGAGTGCAGCACCCATGGGCAGAAGAGGGTGTTGGGTCCCCTGGAGCCTCCCTGTGGGTTCTGGAAGTAGATTCTTACCCGCTGAGCCGGGGCTCTGCACCTAGGGAGTTGAGTTAGGGTTTACCAGAAGCTACCACCAACTTTGGATTGATCCTCAGACCTATGAGACCTGGCACTGGTGACTCAACAGGTGACAAAAGTCTTAGCATTTTGTCGCGGGCTCCAAAAGGCAGCCGAAGCCAGAATGTCAGGAAATTTTTATGGAGTTTTACTAAAAATGGAAGCAAGAGGATCAGATATGTAGATGTAGCTAAAAAAGGGGGTTGGACCAGTGTATGGGATGAGGGCAGGTGCCACATGACCCTATGGAGGTCAGAGGGTCCTAAGTGCACTTCAGCTTGTACTGTGTTTGGGAGTCCTGGAGATAAAAGCCATCATGCTTTCTGGCAAGTGCTAGCCGTTTTCCTAGGTCCAGTTTATTAGGGTGGTGTGGAAGAAAGTAGACTTTTTTCTTTTTAAATTTATCTTACAACATTTAGGTGGGGATTGAATTTTGTTTTTCGTTTTTGTTTTTTGTTTTGTTTTTGGTTTTTCGAGACAGGGTTTCTCTTTGTAGCCTTGGCTGTCCTGGAACTCACTCTGTAGACCAGGCTAGCCTCAAACTCTCGAACTCAGAGATCCGCCTACCTCTGCCTCCCAAGTGCTAGGATTAAAGGTGTGCACCACCACCGCCCGGCGGGGATTGTATTTTGAATATCTTATTTTGTGGACAACATCTGAAACTCAGGCTAGCTTCAAACTCAAGGGCTGACCTTGGTGTTACCCTCTTTCTCCACCAGGGTGCGCTGTTTGACTGGCGATAGGCTTGCGTTAAGTTGGTTGACTTTCTAACCTTGGCTTTGCCCCACGTGACCCCGAGCCTCGGTTCGCTCTTGTTCTGCACCTCACCAATCTATGACTGCTTGAGACCGTGCTCAGGGCCGAGAGGTGGGACAAGCAGTAGACCGACTTAGAGCACAGCTAATAGGATGTGAATGCGTGCTTGTGTCCGGTGGGAGAGCCAATAGCTGCCGGGCGTGGTGCAGTGCCAGCCAATGGCTGGCGGGGGTGTGGCTCAACCTTGTGCGGTCCGTCCCTGAAGATGGCGGGCACCGGGAGGCTGGCGACGCGGTTGTTTTCTGGGTGCGGCTGGGTGCGCGGCTCGGACTCTGCTGTGCTGAGCCGCCTGCGTGATGAGGCCGTGGTGCATCCGGGCTTCCTTAGCCAGGAGGAGGAGGACACGCTGACACGCGAACTGGAGCCCCAGTTGCGGCGCCGGCGCTACGAGTACGACCACTGGGACGCGGTGAGTGGGCGGGGCGGCGAGCTACAGGGACGCCCACTGGGACGTGATGAGGGGGCGCGGTCCTCGGAGGGGCAGAATGTAGAGCTGAGACCTAGGCAGGCTCGGCCAGATTGGAGACGGTGTGTTCTGGGCAGTGCCCAGTGTAGGTTCGGGTGGGACCAAGTGACACGGGGCTCCGACTGCTGCGTGCGATCAGTTTCTCTGGTGTGGGACGTGACGGGTGCTGGGCAACTCCGGAGTAACAGTGTATCAGAGGAACAGGGAACCAGTTCCCTGAGCTGTTGCCGGTGGGCAGGAGGGCAGAACTGAGCCCGACCCCTCACACACACCATACCCTGTTTCCAGTTCTGTGGATCTACCATCGTCCTAAGGGAACAGGGCTGATCTTGATGCCAGGGGAAGGCCTGCAGTTGCGGGGTTATGGATGGTTCTTAGAGCAGGGGAAGGGACCAGAGCCGGAGAAGGTGAACCGGCAACAGCTCAGGGGGATAGAGCAGTGCAGTATTACAGTGGGGGCAGATCACTGGTGGGCTTTACCAAGAACAGGGGCTGTGGCGTGAGGCTGGGCCCGGAATAAGAAGGGAGAGTTTTGGTGGACACCAAGGAATGGGTAGTGAGGACAAATATGTCACTTCAGACATGAAGTTCTGGAACTGAGGGGCACTGATGACAAGATTAGGAATAGAAAGCAGACTTGGGAGAGGGAGTTCTAGCCATTGGGAATTACACTAGGGACTTGAGGTGGGATCAAGTTGAGACTGGAGACTGAGATACTGAATATTAGGGTGTCCAGGAACCACTGGGAATCGAGATGTGAAGACCAGATGCATGGTTGAAACCTCCCTGAGCCGTGCTTAAAGGCTGGGTTGTGAGCTAAAGCTGGGACAACTGCCTGTCCTGTACTGTGCCCCTCTGCATCTCGTTTTCCTGTCCTGGGAGTTCCCAGTTATGACTTGAGCTCTCTGTACAGGCCATCCACGGCTTCAGGGAGACAGAGAAATCCTGCTGGTCTGATGCAAGCCAGGCCATCCTGCAGCGGGTCCGGGCAGCTGCCTTTGGTCCTGATCAGACCCTTCTATTCCCCGTCCATGTGTTGGACCTGGAACATCGGGGCTACATCAAGCCTCACGTTGACAGTGTCAAGGTGGGCAGAAGGCATCCCGTCAGAACTCCTAGTCAGGTTGGCGGTGGGCAGGAGGGCAGAACTCAGCCTGACCCCTCACACACACCATATCCTGTTTCCAGTTCTGTGGATCTACCATCGCTGGCCTTTCCCTGTTGTCTCCAAGTGTAATGAAGCTGGTGCACACACAGGAACCTGAGCAGTGGCTAGAACTGTTGCTGGAACCAGGTTCTCTCTATATCCTAAGGTACGACCTAGCCTAGAGCCCCCAGGTGAGGCCAAGTGTTTCTAACAGCTCTTGTTTCTGCTCTCATAGTGGAGGAAGTCACCACCACCACCCAGAAAAAGTATAGAAATGCTGAAGGGACAGACTTCCTTCCATCCATCACTTAGCCTCTCTCTTCTTGCAGGGGTTCAGCCCGATATGACTTCTCCCATGAGATCCTTAGAGATGAAGAATCATTTTTTGGGGAGCACAGGGTCCCCCGAGGCCGACGCATCTCAGTGATTTGCCGCTCCCTCCCTGAAGGGATGGGGCCAGGAAGGCCAGAAGAGCCACCTCTAGCCTGTTGATCTCTCCACATATCCTCTGGACTTGCAAATAAAATAGGGAAAATGCTATTCTGGGAATCTTCCAATTACTGTCTGCTGGGGCTGAGGCCCTTAAGAGAAGATCAAGGTCTCAGGAGTCACATAGCATGGTGGCTGCCAGGGTGTACCCATCACACATACTCTTATGCCCATGAGAATATCATTTATTGCATTCACTACTGATAAGAGAACAAACAAGCAAACAAAACCACACAACCAGGTCCCTTCCCTTCTCATCTTCTTCACTTATGCAAATTTCTGATAAAGTCACCTGAGCCTTCAGGGCCCAGGCTGCCTCATGCTTGTGAGTCTGAGACACCGGACTGGACTCCTTCAGCCACCACAGCCACAAGCCGCAGCTGAGAGGTGCGGCAGCTGCCGCCAACGGTGATGATCATCAAGGAAGGTCACATCAGCATAGCTGGTGGGCTGGCAGCAGGGTCGGCCATGGGCTAGACCCTGCCCTCGAAGCCGGGCCAGTACCAGACTGTGCTGGGTACCGGCCTCTTGGGGACAGCTGCCAGCACAGTATCGGAAGATGACCTTCTCCTCTGAGGCATAGCCCAGGCCCAGCTCAGCCACTGGTAGGGTCAGGCTCCATAGCCGGCATGAACCACCCAAGGCTCTTGGAAGGCGGACATGGTTGTTACCTAGTGCAAGGTAGAATAGGATGGTGAGACAAAGTGAGGGCTTTGAGAGAAGGAACTGGGGAGTTGGGAGGCCCGCAGGAATTCTTACCCTGATGGGACTTCCGGGTCCCTCCAGTCTCTGCCATCTTCCCAGATGAGAACTTGCCTGCCACAGGAGCCTCTTGAAGATGAAGGGCCCAGCCAAGGCCCAGGTGCAAGGACAGGAGCAGCAGAGACATGATCCAAAGTCTTCCTGCAGCCATTCTGACAGCAGGCCCCAGGATGCTGAGAGACCTTGGTGCCCTGAATTTATTCCCTGCCTGTCCTGGGGATTAAAATCACTGCCAACACCACGTCCCAGGGAAGCTCTGGGGGTCCCACCCACCTTGTCCCCACAGCCCTAAGGATTGATGGCTTACCCACCCAGACATTCCATAGACCCATTTCCGACAACCTGATGTCCCTGATTTATGAGTGTCACACCATCGGCCAGAAGCAAGTCCAGAGCTGGCTACCAACCTGTGTCCCCACCCCACCTGCTATCAGTGGAGGAAGTACAGGGCGGTTGGGAAGAGGGCTGTTCTAAGTTTCGAACTGGAGTGTGGCCATGTGGGACCAATAGGGACTGGGAAGGGCACATGGCAGGTAGAGTCAGTGGGCACCAGTCCATCTCAGCTTCAGCCAGGATTAAGCCATCATGCCCCTGTCTCCGGGCTTGGCTGAGACAGCATCAAAACAGGAAAAGGGAGAGGCTAGGGGATAGCCAAGGGCTGGACTCCCATTCTTGGAAGGCCAACCTGTGAAGGCATAGCTATAGCCTGTCAGGGCTTTGGAGTATTGGAGACAAATCATTCCCAGAAAGGCACAAGTTCTGCACAGACTTCTGAATCCATGAGGCCCAGCAAGTGAACAAGGGCAGCAACAGACCAGGAACTTTGGAGACGAAGGACTAGAACTAATGCTGGGTGTGACAGTGCATGGGGTAGCCCTGTGCTCGGGAAGCCAGGGCAGGATTGTTGAAAGGTGAGGACACCATAGGCTCATAGTAAGCAATGGTACGAGCTTGGCAGGTAAAAGCCAGCCCAGGTGTGAACTGCAGAATCCACATGGTAGAAGAGAACTGACTCTCAAAAGTTGTCCTCTGACCACCACACGCATATGGTGGCATACACGTGCTGCACAAGACACATGAGTGAGAGTGCTGTCTTTAAGAAGACAAGGTTTGGAGCTGAGTTTGTAGAATGCTTGCTGAGCATCAACAAAGCAGCTGTGGGTTCCATCTAAGGCACGGCACAAACTGACATGGTACATGCTCATCATCTCGGCACAGGGAAGGCCGAGGAACGAAGATCACCAGTTCAAGGCCAGCCTGAGCTACTTGAGACCCTTTTTCAAAAAGGAAACAGCTTTCAAAAGTCACTTGAACTAGGTTCCCTTGAAGGGAAGGTTCTGTCCTTAAACACAGGTGCACACCCTGCCTGTCCTAGGGTGGATGGCACCTTAGACCCAGGCCCAAAAAGCCAGCAGACAACTAGGCAGGGATGTCCAGTGAGCATGGACGTTCCTAAGGACTAGCCCCCTTTCTCAGGCATTCCCAATCAACCAGGGCTGGTGGGACTGAGTTTGCACTGGTGTCCAGCTGCCAGTGAGAGAAAGCTCTCACTTCACCCAGGCTGCTCAGGACCCAGCTTTCAAGGTGGCAGCTGAGGCCAAGCACCAGCCAACGCTATCACCACCCAAAAATGTAAAGCACTTTCTCCCCAAGCAACGCCTGGCTGGCCTGGATAAGACATATCACTGGGCTTGTCAGGAGATAAGGGGGACCCCAGGAATGTCACTTGGAAATGGAAAACAGCATCTAGGTGCCAATACCAGGAATAGGTTGGATCACAGAAATCAATAAGGGAAACACCCAGACAGAACTACACACTAAAAGTGGCCTGGGTTGTATTCAGGGAATGTGACATTCATCCTAGCATTTGGGAAACTGAGTTCCAGGGAGTTCCAGGGTAGCCTGGGCTACAGTCCAAGACTTTGTCAAAAGACAAAGTAAAAGAGCCATGCATGTCAGTGATACATGCCTATCATCCCGAACTCCAGAGGTGGAGGTGGGAGGGTCAGTAGTTCAAGGCCAGGCTCAGCTACAAAAGTTGAGAGAGGACTAGGGACGGAGTAGCAGGTGCAACAATCCCAAACCTACACTCCTGGAGGAGTGCTGGAAGCTGAGCATTTCCCAATGCATGCCACCATAAACCCACACACCACACTGACCCTAGGTAGGGACTAGGGTGTGGTGGCTCAGCAGTGGAGCCCCTGCCTAGAATCCTCCAGCAAGGGGCTTTTGGTGTGGTTAAGGGTAGAAGCCCCTGACTGCCTAGAATCCCCCAATGAGGGGCTGTGAGTGTGGCCAGGGCAGAGGCCAAGTGAAATGAAAGCGGTGAAGACTGCACAGGGACAAGTCCTGGCTGTGAGCTGAGCTCAGTGAGCAGGAAGGCTGTGTCCTGTAAGGACGGGGGCTCCAGGAGAGCAGGGGTGACAGTAATGACTCGCACTCTGGGTCCCCTCA